ACAATGCTATGGCGTGTCTCCTAAGACCTATCCCACCCTTCCTGCACGTCTGGCATCTTGGTCACTTCCTCTCCACCTTGTGTCTGTCAGTCCTTGTCTCTCCTAGGACCCTTGCCATTGGCCCATAAACACACTTCGTCTTTCTAGTGTTGAAAAAGAAATTTGCTACATCCACAAACCCCCTGCCCACTTACTCTCACGTCTCTATCCCTCCTGAGCCCACTGTCCAAATGTGTTGCCTCTGCGCCTTCGCTAGATGCACGTAAGGCCCTCGTGCTCTGCCTGTGACCTCAGGGTATCAAAGCTAATGCCTCATCTTCCCCGGCATCTCTTTGGCATTTCATCCCTCCGACCGCCTTTCTGGAATGCGCCCTTCCCAGGGTGCCTGGGTGGTTCAGTCGGTTGAGCGTCCAACTTCTGCTCAGGTCATGATCTAACAGTTCGTGGGTTTGAGCCCCGCATCAGGCTCTGTGCTGCCAGCTCAGAGCCTGGAGCCTGCTTCGGATTCTGTGCCTCCCTCTCACTCTGCCCCACCCTTGCTTGTGCTCTGTCTCTGTCTCTCAAAAATGAATGTTAAAAAATTTAAAAAGACAAAAAACAAAAACCACAGAATGTTCCCTTCCCTTGGCTTCCATCCAGGTCACTGCCTCTTCCCAGGTCTCTTCCCCTTTTCCTGAAATCCACTCACTGCCCAAATGTGGCACTGCCCAACGACCATCCCTGTATCTTTTCTTTTTCTCTCTCTGCAACAGCCTCATCTTCACTCAAACGAATCTCATGTCCGGACCTCCAGACCTGACTTTCCATCCTCCAACATCCAGGATCTCCACCCAGATGTCTCCCTGGCACCTCAAATTCATAATGGCCCAAACTGAGCCTTTAAAATCTGTTCTTTAATGTTCCTGGTCATTCATTCATTCATTCATTCATTCATTTTTCTGGCAAGATCACACCTCCAGTGACCCACACTAGACCCTCAAGGCCTCCTTCTGGCCCTGGCTCGCTGGGGTCCAGTGGACTTCACCACAGCTACCTGCTGGGTCTGGCCCTCCTCTCTGCCCACTCCCCCAAACTGCCTTGCAGAGCTCACACCCACTCCAACTGGCATTTCTGACAAGGTCCTCTAGTCAGCCTCCCTCGTCCTCCCCCTCCCTCCAAACACCTGCTGGACGGATGCTTCCAAAGCCCTCAAAGGTTACCCACCATCCACAGAGCAAAGCCCTCCTCATCAGCCGACCACACGTGGCCCTTCAGAGGCCCAATCCAGGCTTCCAAGGACCTTCCCCGTGACCCCCACTTTGCTCTGCCTGCCCTTATCCTTGCCCAGTTCTCCCCAGAGCCCCGACCTCTCCTGACAGCATGACTTTGCTTATCCTGCTCCCTTAAAGTAGAATCTTCTTCCTTCCGTCACTCCACATCTCGATGCTACTTTCTTCCAGGCGCATCTCAAACATTCCCTCATCTGTAAACAGTTCCTGACCCACTCAGTTAAAAACTATCTCCCCAGGCACTTCCACCCTACCTCACTTTACCTGTGCCTCCCTCATGACACTCACGTGTGGCCCACGCACGCGCATGTGTGTGTGCGTGTGTGTGTGGCCACAAGGCAGAAGACACCCTATCTCCTGTACCGGACTGTAAGCATGCCAAGGACAAAACGCCCATGTGAACTCCCCCAGTACCATACCTAAACAACAGGAGGTACCTGATAAATCTGGGATGATAGTACACAGTGAGATGTGGTGAGGTGTTTGAATGAAAAGGCTTTGCACCCAGGCAGCATTTAAACATAAGGGGTTGTGCTGTGAGTGGGTCTGGATTGGGATTTGGAGCAGGAAAGGTGTCCTGGAGAGAGCTAAGCCCAGCACCCCACAGTGGCAGACCCCACCCCTGCCCACTCTCCCGGCTGTACCCTCGTTCCAGACCAGGAGCCACAGCACCTAGACCCTGTCCTTGGCCCTGGGACCCTGTCAGAGAGCAACAGCCATCTTCCTCCTGTGTCTGTAGGGATTAGGCTCCTTCCCAACCCACCACACTTAAGTGAGCACCAAACAGCCAGATGGATGCAGCTGGCCTCATCTGGACCCCCTTCCGGGGGAGCAAGGACACCTGAACTCCAGCTCAGACCTGCCTTGAACCAGCTCTCTGACTTTTATTGCCACACCCAGGCGAGGGTCAAAAACAGCATTTCCCAAACTCTAGTTCCACAGGCCACTAAGCAAGGTGTGCACATCCATTAGCAAATCCCAGTGAGTGCTTTGGAGACTCGATGTGGGAAGGGGCAGACTAGTTTCTCCCTGTGGGCTCATCTGGCTGCGCCGAGCCAGGAATCACACCTTGCGGGGGGCACTGCAAAGGCTTCTGTCCTCTCCCCAAAACCCCTGAGCTCATGACCCCTCCCCAAGGTGGAGATCGCAGCAGCTGGGCTGCCCTGTTGAGGAAACATGAACACAGCCTCTTTCTGGAAATAGCCAGCCTAGGGTGGGTGAAGAGGGGCCACAAAGGAGTTCCTGACAGAGGGGTGGGTCAGCCCCAGCGTGCACCAACTTCTCATTATTGGGACAGCAGGGTGGAGGCCAGAGCAGGCCGCAAGCAGGCCAAACCAGGGCTAGGCTGGAGGAAGGAACGGACTCAGAATCCCCATCTACCCCAACCTCTGCATCATGCAGGCAGCAGGAAGCAAAGAAGTCCCAAGCCCAGCCTAACAGACACCAGCAGCTTGAACCCAAATGCTCTCTCAGCGCTGGCCACCCCCCACCACCCCACTCTTGGAGGAGGGGGTGAGACTGTCTGTCCCTAATTCACTGCCTGACCTTGTACACATCTCTGGTTCCTCCAGCTTTCGCTCTCTTACCTCGACAATACTCGAGGCTGCTTTCCCCTGTCCTTGAGCAGGCCTGTGACCAGGCCAAGTCCCTAAGACAAAGAGGAGGACCCCAATGGTCAAAATGCCTAGAGGCCATGGGTCAGGGGGTGGAGACTTACAAGGTGTCTGGTGATGGGGCCACGGCAGTTCTGGCTGCGTCCTAGCATCAGGAGAGGTACTTGGTCCCTTGCTAGGGAATAAGAAGAGGCTGCCTCGGTCCAGAGGACCACAGGGGCAACATGGGGACAAGAGACGAAAGCACGGCTCTGTAGGGCCCCCTCCATCCCTGGGGAGCAGGAAGCTGGATTAGACAGAAGGTCAGCCTGCCATCCAGCCAGCAGCGGGATGGAAATGAGGGTCCAGTAATAGGGTGGGAAGTTCAGGAGCAAAGCTGCTGCCTTTGGGCAAGGTGGCATTTACTTCGTGGCACAATTCCAGTGGGAAATCAACCAGTAGGAAGGACTGTCATCATGGGGGCAGGGAGAAGCCACCCTTATGGCTGGAACCTCCTAGCGGGTACAGGAGACAGCTGCCTTTGCGGTAATCTACAGCTGGTAGAGTGATAAAATTCACCCCCCAGGAGAAGAGCCCACAGCCCAAGTGGTGAGCAGGAGTGAGGAGAAAGGGGACCCGGCACATGGTGGACAAACCCTCCCTGGAAGCCAGGACTGGACCACACTGCAGAGTCCAGGAAGGAAGGAGCATGCACAGAGAGGATCTTCGCACAAAATGCCTGCCTGCCTCCTTTCCCCCACAGCAAGATCCCCAGGCAGGCCTTATGGAACGTTCCAGATGTCCAGTTCCCTTGTTGGGAGGAAAGATGAAGGATGTCCCTAAAAGGCTAAGAGTCCCCAGGCCTGCTGTGTGGAAGCAAGGCGGCAGCTGGGGCTGGGCGGAGCAGGGCAGGGGCTGTGAAGGGGAGAGGGCAGCAGTGGCTTGGGGCTCAGGATCCAATTACACGGCTGTTTCCATACTTAGCCACCTGACAGCCGCTTGGAATCCTCACCGCTCCAGCCACAGCAGCGCTGCAAGGCCCAAATTAACTCAAGGGCAGACAAGGGCAGGGCCCAGCGGCATTCGCAAGGCTGAATCCCCCCACCTAGGTCCCTAACCCCCTGAGGGAACAGCTTCTGCTCCTGCCTGCTACCTGCCCTCCTGGCTGGGTCGAGGACCTCGACACACAGAATCGCAAAGACCCGAGCGACTGGGGCTCTGGCCCTGTGGTCCCCGGTGCAGATGAAGACGGCCACTCATGAGAAGACAAAGCAGGAGACCCAGATGCCTGGGGGTCCCCAGATCACCCCCAAAGCACCACCAAGCGAGACCCAGCCGCAGAAGTCTCGGGAAGAGAGAGGTGACAAATGATCTGGTGTCCCCTCCTTGCCTAGAAATAACCCCCACGCTGTAACCTGAGCCACCGCCTCTGCCACACAAAGTGCTGAGATATCAAAGGGAGACCGTGCACACATGCCCCAGCCCCCTTCCAGTGGAGCCCCCAGCCCAGGCCAGGGATACCCTGCAGGGGGTCCTGCTCCTCTCCCAAACTCTGGCTCCAATCCCCAACTCCATCTCCAACCTGTTCCCAACCGACCTCCTTTCTACCCTGCCGTTCCCCAGACAACCCCCAACTCTGTGCACTGTGCCCGGTGTTCAGTCATGCAAAGCCAGCCCCTGCCCAATCCCCACCGGGGGGGAGGGTCAAGCCAACTCAGACCTCCAGGGGCCCCTCCAGCTCCAAGACCGGGTTCTTTTCGCCCATCTAGAAGGGTCCTCTAGTCTTGACTTTTGGGGTCCTCTTCCCCAACATCTACTGGCCAGACCTGTCCTCTGGCTCCCAGCCCTTGGCTCAGGCCTCATGCCTGCCTGCACCTCTCGGTTCACTGTTCCCACTTTCTCTGGCCTCCCATGGAGCCCCCGACGTCTCTCAGGTTCTCTGTACCATTTCCTCCTGGGCCCCAGGGAGAAAGGAATGGAGACGATGCCAGGAGTCCATGTTTGCCATCAACCCCAGGAACCACTGAGGCCTCACCATCTACCGCTGGAGCCTCTCCCCCCTCCCCCCTTCAGTAAACATAAGACCTCAGGGCACGTGGGGGTCGTGATCTGGCCTGGCTGACAGGGGTAAGGGTCATACCTGTTTGTCCTGGGAGCAGGAGCGATGCCACAAAGCAGCAGAGCAGGACCAGCGCCCTCATGGTGACTGCCAAGAGAGCCCAGCTGCTCCTCGCCTCTATTTATAGGGCTAGTGGCAGTGCCGGGTGGGGGAGAAAGGGTCACACAGTCACTAGGGCAACTGGGTGGACGTGATGGGGAAGCCGCGCAGACCCTGACAGGCCATGCAGAGGCTGGCTCCACCACTGCTGTGCCTGCTGTCAGGCCCCGGAAGGCAGAGCCCGGACCGGATTCTCTCCCCCCAGCGGCCCTGGGGTCACGTGACATGGGTCACAGGGCAGGGGTGGTAGAGAAAAAGTGGGGCATCCCTTGGGTTAGGTCTAGGGGTTAGGAACCCGAGCCTTTTCAGCATCTGTGCTAACGTGATCTAAAGTCTGGACCAAGTCACTGACCTTGACCTGCCTCAGTTTTCTGAATGAAGGAGCCACAGGGCAAAGCGAGAGAGATTCTATTTGACAGCCACTGACAGACATTTCGGCCGTTCCCACCCCCCGCCCCCACAGGTCGGTCAGGAGGGTGAAGCCACAATAGCTGCTTAAGGAAACCTGTGATGTCTGACCTTTGAGGTAGATGGCTAGGAGCTTAACCTTCTCAGGCTTCTGGAAAACACAGAATGCTGATGCCTCGGAAGGACAAAGGGGAAGCTAGGAGACATGTCCCGTGCTATGATATAAGACAGTGAACAGAGATCCATTTCCAGTAACATGGGGGTTCCAGAACCTTCTGTCGTGTCTGCAATGTGATGTTTGATGCAGTTTTCCTAATGGCACATGACAGCCCCTAAGAACCAGTTCTCTGAAGCTGAGGGAATGCAGACACTGGCTTGTCAGGCTGGAGGGAGGGTGTCACTGTGAGGATGGCAGTCGGTCACGGAGGAGAGGAACTGAAGTCAACTGGCCATTCTTCTATGGGCTTTACATTTAACACAGCTTCGCTGGGGTCTAATCCACCTGCAGCACAGAATGCTATTCGAATCTGATTCATTTTGACATATGTGTATCACCACAATCAAAATAGTGACCAGATTCCTCACTGCCCAATTTTCCTCATGCCTCCCCCGTCCAGCCCCCTCCCCAGCAGCTCCTGAGCTGCTCTCTTCACTATACATTAGTTTGTATTTGTGGATGTAAATGGAACCACATCATATGTGTTTTTTATCCGGCTTCTTTCAGTCAGCATACTTACCTTGAGATGTGCTCACGTTGCAGTTGTGTATCAATAGTTCATTCCTTTGTATTCCGGACAGTACTTCACTGTATGGACTGGCCACAATTTGCTATCCATTCTCCTCGTGATAGACACTGGGTTGTCTCCAAGTTTGTGCTATTACTGATTGAGCTGCCGGGAACATCTGTATACAATTCCACTTACCAACGTTCACTTTCATTTCTCTCCAGTAAATACCCAGAAGGGGAGTGGCTGGATCACATGGTGGGGGGTCCGTTTAACTTTTTCCTAAGGTGACTGTGCCATTTTACATTTCTTTTTTTTTTTTTTT